CGGTTCTTCGGCCGTTAGTCCGAGAAGTGAACTTCGTTGGAGCCGAAATCCGGCTTCATAACTGCAAATCATTCGATATTTGAGGTTAATGGACCAGTGGTTAATTTATATTTCTACCTGTGTTTAACCCAGTTCCGCGCCATGAAGACGTATGGAGGTGTGGATATATAACTCCAAGCATTCTTGTTCTCCATACTCCAGCCACTCATTCCCCCGGCGAAGACCCAAAAGAGCCCTTAGGTTGTCCCCATAGTCGGTCTGGACATAGTCATGAAGATAGAAATCTTCTGTCTCTCTTGGGAATTGAACCCCTGTGGCTCAGCCCGTAACCAATAACAAAACGGACTAAGCCATCCCGACTCTACTGGTGAAGTAATTGGGGTGATTTTTTTTTCTAACCCCTGTTGAGATTGATTAACCTCTCGCCGCTCAACGCGAGATCTAAAAGCTATGAGATATTGGGGCGTCATTAACGAGATTATTATGTAAGAGTGGACAGAGGCAGACGTTCTGAGTTCTAGGCGATGCACGTTTATACTTAGTCCCTCTCAGTTGCGCAATAGTGACAATCAGTCATGCTCTCTCAGACTCAACTACTGGAATACTCCATGCGTGCACCTTCTAGAACATGAGCAGTTACATCTTGTGGGATTTAACACCACGTAGTCCGTTGAAATGGCCGATCACATTGGCCACGTTATCTAAAGCATGAACCGTCTTCGTCCGCTCGAACGCTGGGATTGTGGGTTCGAATCCCAATCCAGGTATGGATGTCTCTGTGCATTTATTCTTTGTTTTATTCAGTGTGTATGTAACAGCCTTTCGACTGGCTAATCTCCCGCCCAAGGGGTCCTGCAGATTGTGTATAGATTAAGAAACTGAAAAAGCGGCCAAGGTCCATTAGGGTTGTAGAGCCATAGTTGGGTAGGTAGGTAGATCGTTGAATGTCAACCAACATTTCGGAGGCATGTGTCACTTCCATTGTCAGGTTCAAAGAATAAACCAGGGTAAAAGTAGATAGCTAAAAGTGCCAGAGCAAGATTTGAAAATAGAAGCGACACGTTCCCCCGAAACGTCAGTTTACTTTCCACACACTACGTGGCGTTATATCCCAGAAGGTAGAACTGTTCATAACCAACGCTGTGAAAACCTCAGATTCTTCTAGAATAACTTTGAGATAGAAAAGGCTTGTCTAGGACTCTGTAAACACTTTCATGTGGCTACGAAGAATTGTTGGAGGGGTCATTTTCTGTGCGGTCCATGTTCCATCAAAGGAAAGTAGGCAATTAGTTCTTCCGAGAATTTGTTATTGAATCATTCGAAAGAATGTGGGAAATTTTGCTCCAGAATTTCTTCTGATACCTTGCTGCCGTTATTTCAACGGGTAGGTTCGCCACTTATTGTCCCTTTCCGGCTCATTTTATGTAAAAGTCTCTTCAGAGTTTTCCATAGATTTTCTTATCGATGTGGTTTGAATTTTTTTTTAATAATTTGGGAAGCCTCTTTCGTTTCATTCTGCCTATAAATTGATTCCAGCTGGTTATTATTTTATATTTTTTTTTTGCTCCTAAATTTTTAGTATATCTTCATTTCTTTTATAGTACGTTCTTCTGTTGCATTTCTTCTCAGCTGCTATAATGCCGGCACTGCCCGTTCTCAACAGAATGCGGACTGGACTTGATGGAGTCCACTAAGTGAGATACGCATTATGTGGTGTGTGTGTTTGAGAGTCAGTCAGGGGTCTTAGTTACAGTCTGTCACTCTCCCTGCCACAGGGCAGCTACAACCACTACTCCACAGCTTCTTACCATACTGTGACTCATAGATCCATTGATAGGCAACGGTTCGGTAAAGACATCACGCGGGTGCCAACGCACGCAGCAATAGGACGTCTATTGCTAGACAGTGGATCAGTAAACACTCATAAAAAATACGGGACAATAGAAGACGGTGTTTTCCTTTGGGTCCACCCCGAGGCTATATAACAGGAAGTTTTCAGAAGTTGAGAGAGTTTAGTTGAGGGAGCTGTCGAGAATTGGGTTGCGTTCTGTAGATGGCAGTCAAAGGTGATGGAGAAGGAACGACAAGAAATGAATTGGGCTATGAAAAGAAGACATCATGTGTAATTTGAAGTGACAGTGAAACTGTTATAAATCCGTTGCCAGGATACGACTAATGAATACTGAGAACTCTATTGCGTGTGTAACGGTGAACTGTATAGTATGTAGATTAGCGATAGCGCTATTATACATATAGTCCCGAGTTGCAAATATATGACGTGCAATAAATCCAATCATCCAATCCAACTCCCGTCAATAGTCACATGACAGTACTTCCGTTCATGGGCATCAGAGGTTACCGGTCTCTTGATATGCCCTGTGATTGTTCAGCTTCCACTGCAATGAATGTAGGGCGCTGTATTGGGTTTGAGGATCTCAGGGCGATGTTTTCGAAAAGAATCTGCAAGAAACAGGTCGAAATTACATGTAGTGATCAGATGTTTCTGTTGCAAATTCTATGCGCAATACAAACTCTCTATCTCATCGACTCGCGAACTACTGGGATGATATCTCATTGATGGCTGTTCGCCTCTCCTACACATCTGCATCCCCTCAGCCAGGACGTAAGACACACAACTCTACTAGGGGAGTATCTCCTGCTACAAAGTAGTAGTTATTTGGCATTCTAACATGAGCCATGCACATTCACAGACAGAATCCAGATACCTCCAATAGCCACACTCCATTCACCCCACCTCCCCTCCCACATCGGCAGACTCCATCAGCTTCTTGTTGTACTACTATTAGAGGGTATGTGCATTAGGTATGCATGTCTCTTTCTTTTCTTCTTCTTTCTGGGGTAGGAAATGTAGCAGAGACGCGATGGCCGTGTTTAGATGTTCTGCAAGCAATACTCGTATGAGAATAAATATGTCATAAATGATGGCGTTTCGTGCTGCGCAGTACAATACTGTACTAAAACTAGTGCATGTTTCGGTTTAGTGTAGATACATTATTTTGTATCACAAGAAATCGCGGATTTTCTTCTCCATTTCGTGATCTACGCAGTCGATCCCGTTTCCACGTCAAATGTTCGCTTCATATTCTCTAACTTCCTCTTCGCCTTTATCTTATCTGTTGTTTTATTTCATTTGTATTGACAGTATTTTTAAGTTATTTCCTAATACAGGGCATAACAAAAAGAAGAGTGCCTGATTTCGAACCCCTGCAACTAAGGAACAAAAGCTGATACGTCGTTGTTGATATATATTTATCAATGGCTCTATAATCCTCTTTGTTGGACCTTGGACGGGGGATCAGCCCGATGCAAGGCCGCTACCTGCACACATAGGACAGCATAAACGCACACAGACATACATACCTCGAGTGGGATTCGAACCTACGATCCCAGTGTTCGGGCGGGCGAAGACGTTTGATGCCTTAGACCGCGCGGTTACTGCGACCGGCGACTATGCTGGTACTTGACAGTGCAATCGTAAACTGAAACGTCACTGACACAGATTGTGCGTATCCTTATTTTACGTAGTTAACGGACGTAGTTACGTGTTATGCGCGATAAATGTAAAGTCTAGTGTAAAATCCAAAGTTTTTTTTAGTAGATCCTGCATCTTCATTCTTAACATAGTCTATAAGATCCAAAAGTTTATGACGAGGGTACGTTGTTTTCGGACATTATCCATCGTCTTGTCTATATTTGAAAACTGTCCTGTTTATTTTTCAAAACGCAACGTTTCGGACACTGGATTCTGTCTCCGTGCTCAGGGAAAACCTACTCAGTTGGGCCCAAAAGATAGCCTGAGGACGGAGGGCGATAGGGACTAGCTCTATCGATTGGGCCCAACTGAGTAGGTTTCACCTGAGGACGGAGACAGAATCCAGTCTCCTAAACGTTGCGTTTTGAAAAGTAAACATGATGGTTTTTAACATTGTCTAGTCTAATGCAGCTTTTAGCGTGTTCCCAAGTACTTCATCTCCAGTGACTGTGTTATATTTCTGCACTTGCTTTAATTTCCCCAGATCAAGTTAAGATCACGGCCATTTTATTTTAATGTATAGAGGAAAAGGACGAGAGAAATTCATCCAGGGTAAAGGGCCCTTCCTTATGCTTAGATTTGCTATGTAACGACTCGCTCGGGGAGAAGTACCCTATATGCAGGTTCATGAAATGCACCCCAACGGAAATAAACAAGTGGATAATAAGTAACAAACAAAAAACTCCGTAGCCTTTAGTCCGCAAGCGAACTATACCGACCGAGCGACCGTCGCTTGTCAGCGAAGTTAGTGCCAACTTTTGAGGTTATCGATAATAAGTACAAACACTTAAATAGATAAATGAAAAAAAGAATTTAGGTTTTGAAGTACTCATAGCGATGGTTAGGAAGAGTTGTGTCTTCTGGGATATAACGCCGTGTAGTCCGGCGAAAGTCGTCGGATATTTCGGAGGAATATGTCACCTCCATCTTCAGGGTCGAAGAATAATTCAAGGAAGAAACCAGCAAGCAGCCTACCTACTTCACGCTGGTTTCTGCATTGGATCATTCTTCGAACATGTAGCTGGCGGCAACATTTTCTTCCGAAACGTCGGTTGACTTCCAGCGGACTACACGGCGTTATGTCCCAGAAGATAGAACTATTCGAAGAAATCTTTACCTGAAAGAAAGGGAAGTAACAAAAGAAAGACAGGAAAATAAGGAATTGAGAATGAGGCAAAGAATGACCCCTTTCTACGAGGCCAGGCTGTGATGGTTTATATGAGGAATGAGGGTACATGTCCAGGCAGTCTTCGTACCAATACTAGAGGAATGTGAGTAGTCACCCTCCCGCTACTTTTGCTTTACCCCTACCATACGTGCTTGGATAGAGGTAAAATAATTCCCAGAACACGTGTGTACGCAGTGAGGAAGATAAATAAATTATATTACTGAAGTCTGTTCAGCAGTATATTGTGTGTACGTGATACATGCCTTCTTATTGTTGTAGGATGCCGAGGACTGTGTTTAAGAGAACTTAGGATTCAGAAGTGCCTGCACGTCTGAAGTAAAGTGAGTACATTCCATTTCTCATATAATCTACGTCTGTATAAGATAATGCCATGTATCTACGCATTGTAACGAGTTACAGGTTAAGTTCACTTCATTGTAAAAGACAGAGAGGTAATGCTATCCCCGTAACAGGCCGTGGAGACCCATCGGCTTATGAGACGTCGAGGCTCCCACATTTTCTCTAGACAGTCTGCTCACAGATGGCGGTAAGGTTGTCAGCCTTACGCGCCGGTCGCCCTTGGCCCTCCAGGAAATTTCCATGTACTCATTTCTGTTAGAGACTGAGTCAACCCCAGGACCTTAGTGCGGCTGGAAGGATTAGATAAATTGAAAAAGTCCCATAACCTCTTGGCGAATAGAACCCGCGACCTTCCGGCTTGTAGCATATGGCCTCAACCAAGTACTTCCACACTTCACTATAACCATTGTAACACCGTAGACCTGCTACATATATATTAACTGTAAGTAAATTGGGCCACGCGGTAGCGTAGTTGGTTGAGGCACTATACTACAAACCGGAAGGTAGCGGCTTCGATTCCTGATGAGGTTATTGGATTTTTCAATTTATCTAATCCTTCCGGCCGTATTATGGCCCTGGGGTCGACTCAACTTCTAACAGAACTGAGTACCAGGAATCTTTCTGGAGGTTAAGGGCGCATAAGATTCGCAACCTCACCGCCATCTGTGAGCCGATTGTCTCGTGAAAATGTGGGAACCTCGACGTCTCACAACCCTATGTACCTCCACGGCCTGTTACAGCAGTAGCTTTACCCTTTTATCTGTAAGTAAACGTTTCTAAGTTCCTGGGTCATTAAATTTCTTGGATTTATTGTAGTCAAACAGCTCATTGAACAGAACTAAGTTTATAGCTCATTGCCTTCTTTAGTCTCTGAACGACAAAGTTGATTATCACCATCGAGTTTCTCCTCACTCACAAGCCCTTGAAACATATTATCCACATCATCTGCGTAAACTTCACAATCCTGTAACTGTTAGAACAAATAGATTAGGCTGGACGTAACACAAGGAGCTATGGGATGAACTACTGTAATTCCCTGCAGTTCTTTGATACGATACGCACCGCACAGAAAACGACGCTAAGATAGGGAAAGCATATTTAAAAACATTTGGACGTGTTTACACATGCACAATAATGTGTATATTCTTAATTTCATGCATCCTGCTGTGCTACAATATACAACTCTTTAATGAACCGTCACAACACAGCAAATAGTAAAACATCAAAGTCAGCGTACAGCTGTGGCTTTGCTACATGTTTCGGCCACTATCGGCCATCATCAGGCAAATACATATCAACAAAAATCTACCATTTAACTGCAATCATAAAATGGATATAACACTATTAATCGTACAATTTTAAAATTGCTTATATACAAATACAAAAGTTCAGATTATATAAAAATTAAAAATTGGAATTATTATAACAAGATAAAATATTAAAGATGTTTTCAAAAACATTGAATCAGTCGTTAGATATACTTTTTGTGCGTTTCCATAGACAATAGGAAAATTCGATATTACTTGATATAGAAGATTTTAAGAGAGGCCCATGGTGTAGCAATTATTGAATTGTGTAATGCTGCCTCGTCATTAAGAAGAATTGTCCGTATTGCATGGAAAGCAAACAACGACTGAAACATGTAGCAAAGCCACAGCTGTACGCTGACTTTGATGTTTTATTATTTGCTGTGTTGTGACGGTTCATTAAAGAGTTGTGTAATGTGTATATTGCTGAGAAACGGTAGTAACGTGTTTATCGCTGTTTCTTAGCAGTGGCCGTCTCCTCTCTCTTTTGGATATTACAATTAGTGTTCCCTCTTCGGTCCGCTCACACTCTTTTGGGTGTTACACTTAGTGTTCTCTCTTCGGTCCGCCCCGATATATTTACGTAGATGTTCAGCACAGACAATATTCAGTCTGTCTGAGAGGGAGGGATGAGGTGGTCCTCTGCTCTGCTCAGCCAGAGCGCCTACACTGAAAGGCAGATCTTTCCTCTCGCCGAAGAAGAGACCTCGTTGCCTAGTAGGGATTGGGGAACACACAGACAGTAAGGAAGGAGATCGCATAAGCCTAGTTTAAAAAAGTAGGCTAAAAACTATACTCAGATTCAAACATGACTGAGATTGAGTGATTATCTGTCGCTTCTCGAGCTTCATATTTGCGATTTTACTGAGTATTCCACTTGACGTTGGTTGTCCTGGATTTGAATTCTTACAATTTTACAAGATCTCCACACGAATATACGTACTTAACAAATCACTGAACTACAACAGACATATAGTCTTCTATGGCTTTAGCAGTCGTTGCCTAGTAGCTGATCCCAACAATGTAGATTCCTCAGCATCTGTGTTCATCCCTCCTCATTACACAATTTTCTCCAATCTCCTGTGACCTCATACCTCTTCGGTTCTAGTATTCTCCCCAACACCCTGTTCTCAAACACACTCAGTCTTTTTCCCTCCGTTAATGCCACAGACCAAGTTTCACACCCGTACAGAACCACAGGCAAAATTATAGTTTTGTGTATTATAACTTTTATGATTTTGGCCATCAGACGGAAAGACAAAAGGTTCTTGACTGAATCGTAGTAAGCATTACCCGAAATCAATTTCCTCTTCATTTCCTCTTGAATCAGGTTTTGATTTGTTACTGTCGTTCCAAGATATCTGAACTGTGTCACATTTTTAAAGGATCTGTTAGCTATCTTTGTATTATGATTCTGCCCTGCATTCTGGTGACGAGGCAGCAACATATACTTAGATTTCTCTGTTTACTTCTAGACCAACCTCCTTACTCCTTACCCCTTACTCCTTACCATATCTCTCTTATCTTCCAGTACATTTATATGATCAGTATAGACCAGCAGCTGTTATATCCCATTTAATTCGAGTCCCATCTCGTTTCCCTGGACTTTCTTAATGACATATTCTAAAGCAGAGATAAAAAGCAGTGGCGATAGAGCATCTCCTTGTTTTAGATCATTTTAATAGAAAATTATCATACAAATGTTCACCTATATGGATTTTAACCTTATATAAAGTTCAGTGGTTGCTATACACACCACATGCTTTAACATACTCGTAATAAATCTCTAAATTCTGTCAGCAGATTGTATCTACTGGTATATGTCTCATATGGTTATCACAATAAACAGTGACTTTTTCCCCTAAGCAGCCTTAACTGGTTGGTCCTTGTAGCGGAGAAGTGATCTTTCCTGTGAGGTACAAACTGAATTTTTATATATAATTTAAAAGAAATTCAGTCTTTAAAGGTTTAATGTATTTACATTTTCAATATACAACTTCTTTATTAAAACCGTCACAACACAACTATATCAAGGTCAGTGCCTAGTTTGGCTCTGCTGCATGTTTCGGCTATTAAAAGTCATCATCAGGCAACTACATGGCCAACATATATACAACCAGTGAACTGCAGTACTAATAAAATTGGATTCGATAATATTAATTATATTAAAATACTTGGCGTAAACATAGAATAAATTAGATTATAAACAAAATTTATAGTATAAAACAAGAGTAAAATTCTCCGATTGATGATTTACATCATCGAGTCAACCGTTGGTTTTTGTGAATTCATTGCGTTCCCACGGACAAATTGGAGTATTCTATATTTTGTGTATATATAAGAAACTGTTATTGGAGGCTCGTGATATAGATATAGTAATATTAATGTTAATCTGAAAATGGTATGAAAGTAATAGTATTAAATTTTGTTATAATTAACAATTTATTTTGGTATTGAAGATATAGTGTAATATTTACTTATTATTATTATTGTTAGAGGGGGTGGATTTCCCCATGCACTTACACCAGTTATTGGTCCATTGTGCGTCCCCCCTTTAATTCTACTGTCGCCATACCCTACCGGTACTGGTGCGTGCTATCAGCCCCTTTCAGCCAACGAGGTCGGCCGTCGGTACCTGATATTTCCCCCATCTACTAGAGACATTGGAAACTACTTGGGCGGGAAATTGTTTCCTAATTTTGCTCAGAGGTCTCCTAGAGACATTAGGATCTTTTACGTGCCGTAAATTTACGACACGGGACCCACGGCTTAAAGTCCCTCCCGGAGTATTATTTACTTACTATTTAGTCGGTGCCTCGTCTTACAAAGAATTGTCCGTTCTGTAGGGAATGTAAACAACGACTGATTTGGTGATGTAAGATTAAAGTCGATGCAAGGGCGGGAGGTGGGTGGTAGAGATAAGGTGTATGCGGAAGTGGTTGTAGTGGAGGGAAGGGAAGGAGTCCTACCGTATGTGTAAAATCTAGAAAAACTGAAGTGATCGAAGTTCATGGAGGTAGGCCTAGGCCCACTGGGGCTGTGGTGCCAAGGAAAAAAAAAATATAAACTTTGAATGAAATACCTAACTTTGGTAACTTTAAATTTCTAGAAAGACAACTGCATTGTATTAAGACTCTGACGTGCCGATTCGTCTGTTTGCAGACTCTGCGGTCAGCATATATGTAAGGCGTCAAGTAGAGCATCAGCGCTAACTCGTAAAACTGACGCGGAACGGACTGACAGCTGACTGCTAAATAGCTGTATGCTGTAGCCAGCAAAGTGATTGCTGATTCCTAGTCCCACGGACTCATGCCCATATTTTATTCTTTGACTGTTCTGGGAGCCTTCAGACAAATCCTTGACGGTTTCCCGCGGAATGGTCGCTGCTTTATTACAAAGCATTGGTCTACATCTTAACAAGAAGTTCTGTTGTTGCGCACATATTCGTTGCAGCGGGAATGCGTTTACCGAACCGTTGTCTAGCAACGGCAGGGTAATATACTTACACGCACATAGACGGCATAATGATCTCATGTGCCTAATTTTATTCTTTCAAAATAAGAAAAGTGGACCAAAAAGCAAGCATTTGCCTTAATTTTATGCAAAATATGACGTTACGTTCTAATGTCTTAAACGAAAAGTGACCACTGATCGCCACTTACTGCCGATTCGAG